TGATAGTAATAATAATAATAATAATAATAATAATAATAATAATAATAATAATGATAATAATAATAAGTTTTGACGATTTCCTGAGTTACAAAAATTAATATAAATTACAAATGCCTATTTTTTTTTATATCGTTTTTTTTTCTTTTTTTTTTTTTTGCTTTTTATCATTTTTATTTATTATTATTATTATTATTTATTTATTTATTTTTTTTTTTCGTAAACTATATTGTCAGTTTAGTCTGTTTAACGTTTTTTTTTTTTCCCTTACATACACACCGATTATATATATATTTATATATATTTATATTAATATAAATGATTACTACATCGAATTAAAAATCAAAAAAGAAAGAAAAAGAAATTTACAATAAGTTAATAATTTTTTTTTTTTTTAAATAATTTTTCACATCGAATTTGTTTTATCATTATCATTATTATTATTAATAATTTTATTTTTTTTATTATTATTATTATTATTATTATTATTTATTTTATTTTTATTATTTTATTTTTTTATTATTATTTCAATTTTTTTTCTTTTTTTTTAATATTCGTAATATTAATAAGGCAGCAAAAAAATATATATATATATATTTATATTTAATATTCTAAAACGTCGTTTTATTATTATTATTATTATCATCATTTTCATTATTTTTTCCCAAGTTTTCCAGAAAAAAAAATAAAAAATAAAAACGACGACGACGACTCTGACTATTATTTATAATTTTTTTTTGTTTTTTATAACTTTAATAAAAAAAAAAAAAAAACGTTTCCCTCATTTTTTTTTATTCATCTGTATTTATTATTATTATTATTATTATTATTATTCGTATTAAAATTCTAACACAGTTTAATAATAATAATAATTATTATTATTTATTTATTTTTTTTAACCGTACACATATACATAAAGGGGTATATATATGTAATATAAGAAAATTATAAATTTACTTCCATATTATTTATTTTTTTTTTTTCTTACAATTTTTAACTATTATTATTATTATTATTATTATTATTATTATTATTATTATTATTTGGTTTTC